CTGGAGGCAGACTGGCTGGGTTCAAATCCGCCCTGCTGATTACTATACATGGGTCTGAGCGGTGACCAGTTCGCTAATTCCTCAGTAACTTAGCAGTACAGGACCCAGCGACTCCACTTCTAAATGCACGCCCCCAAGGAACTGCAGACAGCATTAGACAGAACGAGGATGCTTGTAGCAGCCCAGTCTCCAGCAGGAAGACACATTCCAGACGTCTGTCCACTGATGGATGAGGAGCAACAAAATGTGGTACATCCAATGCTGGAAGTATTCATCCGCAGAGAGGAATGAAGGGCTGACACACCCCGCAACATGAATGACCCTCAAAACTATGCTGAGATGAGAGAAGCCAGGCACGGGAGGACCATATATTACACGATTCCTTTTATAGTCAACTCACATTTTCCTACCCAGAATAGGTCAATGGATAGAGACAGAAAGGTGAATGACAGCAGGCTCAGGAGCAGGGAAACGGAGTAATGACTGGCACGCAGAATCTGCTTCTGGAGCACTGGAACGTTCTGGAACCAGATGGTCATGATGGTCATAGAACGCTTTCACCGTGACAGATGCTTCTGAAGTATACATCCCAAATAGCTAAGTGACAGATTTATGTTACTCATTTTTTTCCAACAATCAAAACTGTCTTTAGCTTACTCTGTGCCTCAGTTTCCTCATCTGTAAAATGGATATAGGGGTTGTTAGAGAATATGTTTTTAAAAAGGGGGTGGGAGGGTGGGGGAAGAAGTCCCCTGGCAATAAGTACCCAGCAAGGGTAAGCCATGTGCTTCAGTCTCAACCGACACCATGCATGAGAGCTTTCTCAAGGTCGGAAATACTTTCAAGTCTGTCTGGCGAACAGAGCCACGTGTTCCCTCCCAGTGCATGAAATGTGGCCAGGATTTCTCACTTTACAATTATAATTAACAAACTCCAGGGTTGGTGGCTACCAACTATTGAAGTGGACAATACAGTTCTAGATCCTCCTGCTCCATCCTCAGAACAGCCCTAAGAGGCGGTTATTATCAGCCCCATATTAGAGATAAAATGTAAAATGGCCCTCACAGGCTCCTGCGTGAACACTTGGTCCCCAGTGGGTGGCGCTATTTGGGAAGTTGTGGCGCCTTCGGATGGGAGGCACAGGTGGTGGAGGTGGGTCAGTGGAATAGCACCCACGGGGCAATGCACGACCGCCTGGAACAGCCCAGTTCCTGGAGCTCTAATGCCCCTGTGGTCTGAGGGCATCAGGCATGCACACAGTACACATACATACACATAGGCAGGCACTCACAGGTACTTATAAACGTTTGGAACTTTCAACAGCTCTGCACTACCACATGAGCACCCCTGTCACTTGTACATATGCACGCCCATCTACTTCCTAACCCTATTTGTCTGCCTCGGCCTCCTCTGGGACCTAAATTCCAAGGCCACTGCCCGGCACTTTCTCTTCTCCAGTTTCAGGAGGCCACCACCCTTTCACCATGGAGAAGAGTACATGCTGTCCTGTTCTGTCTGCCCTGACAAAACAGTCTCACCCAACTCTGCAACCCAAAGTGACTTCCTTTACCAATCTATCTTCATAGTCTTTACTGTGTGCCACCTTGGATCACCAGCCCAATTACTGTGCAAATGCACAGTGCCAGGTCCAGCCTAAGCATAGTCCTACTGCCAAGGAGCTCACTGCTAAAGCAGGGCCCCACACTGAACAAGGGCAGCTGAGGACTGTAATAACTGTCTTGTATGAACCAGAGGCTGACTGGCACAACATTTGGGTTTCTTTAAATATAAAACAATGCCCAAATGTCTTTAAATATAAAAGAACACACATAAGCGACCTGGTGTTCGGGGTGGGCTGAGCATCCCACCAACATGGAGGCATCTTTAGATGAGCCCTATTTCCTGTTGCCCTTAGCTGGCCCTCATCCAGGCTCCCCAGCCGCTGTCCCCAGCTCTGCCATCAGCTTCAACTCTTATTTACCAAGACACAGAGGAACAACCTCCAGCCTTGCTGGCCTTTCAAGGGCCATCTACAGCCACAGGCTTCCCTGCCCCGCAGCCTCTTCACAGGCTATCTATCACCTGTCTCCGCTTGCCAGCCCACAGGCTTCCCCCATCCACGGCACCTGCCCACACCTTCCTACCCCAGGCTGCAGGCGCCGGCAGAGCTCACTTCTGAGCTGGGGGAAGCTTCCCACAAGCTCCACAGCCGCGGGTCTGGGGTAGTCACGTGGTCTCTAGCACCTGACCACAGTTGCCTGAGATTCCAAACCCCACTGCCAGTGTTCCACACCTGGGAAGCCACTTAGCCACAAGACACCCAGGCTCCGGCTGCCGGCTAAAGAATCTACTGCAAAGGTCTGTCCTCATCAGTGACTGCTCTGGGTGCAGGGGACAAGATTGCTGTCAGAAGAAAACCGGGCAGACAGTGCAGAGGGCACCGTGTGCCGACAGGACAAGCACTCCCCATGGCCCAGTGCTGGCTCAGAAACGACTTCTGGGGACTGATTCTGGCTGCAACAACGGCTGGACGGCTAGCTGCTTCTAAAAAGGCAAGCCTAATTCCCACCCATTAACTGCTGTGAGCTTCAGCTTCAACACTTGAATTCCCATCACAGTAAAACGGCCGGAGTCTGCCTGATGGAATAAAAATGCCTCTGAAGTTCCAGCCACGTTCCACCCAGTATCTCACAGGTTTTTCTTTACTTCTAGGATGCAATTCATCTGTAATTCATCCACAAATGAGTTCCCAGCAGCCAGGCCTCCCACCCTGAGTTAAGAATGGTTTTAGGGTTAACCCATTCAACACCAAAATAGTTGATCAAAAACTCCTACATCATGTAGACCCAGTATAAACAATGACAATGTTCTGTCCTGGGACGGACTCTGACCAGAGCCTGGTCACTCTCCTTGTTGCCTCAAAGCAAATAAGGTAGCACCTGGGACAGGCAGTGCTTACAGGGGAGAAACCCAAATGCAGACAGCCTCCACTGATGCATTCCCTTCTGAAGACTCTGGAAGTCCCACCCTGAGATTATATAAGCAACACAAAGTGCTGGGGGAGACTTTAGGAGTTGCCTGCGAGTTGGGGAGATTCAGCTTGTGGGCCTTTCAATCAACCATGCTCTCTGGCTCACTGGGCCACACTTGGTAAGGTCTATTGGAAGTGCTGATGTGTGGTGAACAGTGTTCACGTGTCCCCAGGAGAAATCAGACAGCTGTCTACTTCCCCACCCCACCCCACCCCTGGTACTCTAGCTTTGCTCACCAAGAAACCTTCTCAGTCTTTTGAACATTAGTGAGTCTTTTCAACTTTATCTACCCCAAAGGATGTGTTAAATAACACAAGGCATTATGGGAAGAAAATAGGGTAAAGCTGACATATAATATTCAATGTTAGTTTCCGCCCTCTATGGAGACTTTCCTACAAAGAAGGGTGTGGCCAAGGTGTGTTCTGTTGTGCTGCTCCACAACCCAAATCTGCTGCCACTGCACTCCCTATCAGAATCTCTTGCAAAAGGGAAAACAAAAGGTCTACTATCTGTTCTGTCCAACATGGGTAACCACATGGCGTCTATTTAAGCACTTAAGATATAACTAGAGTGGCCCCCTCATAGCAGCATAGACCTTCAATCACGTGGGGAGACAGAGGCAGGTGGATTTCTGTGAGTTTGAGGCCAGCCTGGTCCCACTGAGTCCCAGGCCAGCCAGATTTACAGTGAGACCCCGTATCCAAAAAAGAATAAAAAAGAAAAATGAAAAAAGGAAACCAGTGTGAATAGATAGCTAGATGCATATTCATAATGTGCATGATCAGATGGGGGTGCCCCACCCTTGTGCCCTTGCCCCTAAAATAGACTACCATCAACCTCTTTGTTCCCTATCCTACAGGCACCATGTACCTCTTCCTAAAATAAGAATATCACTTAGAAAGCTGTGCTTCCCAGGTCCAATTCCCAGCACCTCACCTCTGACGCCTTCTTCTGGCCTCCAAAGACATCAAGCATGCAAATGATACACAGACATAAAGGTAGGCAAAATACCATACATATAAAATAAAAATTTTTAAATGCAAATGACAGGAGCCGGAGAGATGGCTCAGCGGTTAAGAATACTGACTAGTCTTCCAGAGCACCTGGTTCAATTCCTAGCACCCACATGACAGCTAACAACTGTAACTCCAAGATCTGATACCCTCACACAGACATACAAGCAGGCAAACCACCAACGTACATAAACAAATTTTAAAAAAAAAAAATGACAAGCAAACCTCAGTACAAAGGCTCAAAATAAAAACTACTATGTACTCTAACCCACATAAGAATTCAATATATACTAAGGATTGTATAATGAACCAAACAGAGAACAATCTGACTTGTTTCCTAGTGCTACAGAAGTTGTCAACTACTTTAGAGACCTGAGTTGTCCTTGGCAAGTAGAGAGACTATAAAGTCTTCAATACTGAGGGTATAGATAACAGTGTTTACCTCTCATGTGTGGGGCCCTGGGCTGATCTTAGTACTGGGGGTGGGGAGGGCATCACATAAAAATTCTTCTGGGCATCAAAAACACCAAACAAAAGGAAGAGGAAACAATCTTATTTGTAAGAAATGAAAGACAAACAAAAGACTAACACTCTCAATTTCTTTTTAAAACATAAATTAGTAAGAAGTAGTTTAAACAATGATGCATCATTTTCATGTACAAAATGGAGAATTATAAAATGATGAAAATATGTAATTCCCAGTGAAGACAAGGGTATTGTCTTCTTCATATGCTGCAGGAAAGAGGAACCTGGTAAAAACATCACTATTCTATCTTTTACCTAGATCCAGCAATTTCGCTGTCAAATAAGTACCCTAAGGAAGCACCCAGGGATGCGACCAAAGATTGACAAGAACCATCATCAACAGCATTTATAATGAAAACAAATATTAAATGGCAAGGTCTAGACACAGGATTAATAAAGCAAGACAATGGAATGCTATGAACTCATTAAATGTTTTTTAAGTTCATTTAATAGCATGAGAAATAATGTAATATTAATTAAGGCTTAATATTAAGTATCTTGTTCTGAATACTTTCCCAGTGATATCAAAACGCTAAGTTAAAGCCAGATCTAGTGATTCAGGCCTGTAATCTCAGCTACTTGAGAGGCTGAGGCAGGAGGATTGAAAGTTCAAGGCCAGTAAGAACTTAGACCAGCTCAAAACAGAAAATTAAAAAAGAAGGCTGAGGAGCTGTCTCAATGGGAAAGCACTTGCCTCAGATGCATAAAGATTTAGGTTCTATCCCCAGGATCAAAATAAGTGAAAGGATTTATTTCAAGCAATTTCCTTCCCTGCTCCCCAAATGCCCTCCTTTGTTCCAAGCCACCCTGCCATCCCTCCATCTCCCCCACGGGGGCAATGGGGCACTTCTCCACTCCCCAGCCTGCCCTTTTGTTTCTGGGCCTCCTCCTGGCTGTCAATCCTTGGGGTAAATCATTTTCTGCATTACTTTAATCTTCTTAAAGGACAACTCCCCCACACCCAGCACCACCTCCTCTGTTCCTCACCCCAGTCTCCCTTCTTTCCTGCAGGTGAAGGAAGGCCCATATTTCTTGAATGTACAAATATGTACAATGTATACATACAAATCCAATCTTGATACAGGAAATCAAGTCACTTAGATTCAACCTCATTTGGATTACAGATGGCTTTCTGCACTGCCCTAGTCCCTCCTGTCTCCCGGATATTCAGGCTCTCACAATAAGGAGAGAGCATACAAAGCTATACTTTCTTGTGCATTTGAACTGGCTCCATCATACCTAGTCTGGATTAGAGCAGTGTGTGCTTGTCCTGGAACAAGAAATGAAACTCAAGCATATGATCTCCATGTATTTTAGATTTAACAGGCAGTGACAGTTCTCTTCTCTGGAACCAAAGAGTAATGCCAAATTAAAGTATGTCACAAAATCAATCAGTTACCCTGTCTGCCACGTCTCAACAATTCATACACCGACTCATATTACAAACCACCCCAGGGGCTTGCAATACAATTTCACTGAATTGGTAGTACTCTTCGCTAGTGGCCAGCCTGATGCATGGCATGTTTAGCTACAAACAGCTCCGCTGACTGTCCCTGTAACATTTTCATGGCTCGCCAATAGATCTGTCCACAGTTCTCAGGTCTACCGAAGGGGTGGTTCAATTCTTCTTTGATGTAATCCATCCAAAGATCTTTAAAGAAAACAAATCAAAACAAAAATAATGTAAACCTAATCAAAAAGCTGGGAAGGCTTTATTAAGCAAATTCAATTATTTAATACTAAGCCAATTAAAAAGTTCTAAAAAACTTCCACACATAAAATTAAGTGAACTTAAGTGAAATTTTAAAATATATTGTGAATAAAACGAGGTGCCATGTAATACTGATACAAATAAGCACTGTGTAATGTTTAAATAAAGTTACGCCTATCTTTTTCTGAAACATTCATCATTTCTTCACAGCAAAACTTTCAAACTCCTTTCTACTTTTTTGTTGTTGTTTGTTTTGGTTTGGTTTTATTTTTTGGTTTTTGAAGACAGGGTTTCTCTGTGCAGTCCTAGCTGTCGGGAACTCACTCTGCAGACCAGATTGGCCTCAAACTCACAGAGATCTGCCTACCTCTGTCTCCCAAGAGCTGGCATACTTCTCGGAACTCACTCTGTGGACCTGCCTCTGCCTTTCAAGTGCTGTGATTAAAGGGGATCACAACCACCACCCAGCACTACCAGGTTTCCTTTCTACTCTGTTGTTATCTAGTCAGCCCCGACTGTGCCACAGCAGACTAGCCTTAGTGTAACTGACCAAACACTGACTGGCCCATCTTTTCTACTGTGATGACCAGCTGTGGCTACTGGCCTACACTAACTTTTTCTTTATAAATACTTGTTTTAGCTAGTCTGATTTAGTTTTGATTTTTTCTAATATTTATTTATTATGTATACAATATTCTGTCTACATGTATGGGCACCAGACCTCATTACAGATGGTTGTGAGCCACCATGTGGTTGCTGGGAATTGAACTCAGGACCTTTGGAAAAGTAGGCAATGCTTTTAACCACTGAGCCATCTCTCCAGCCCCTAGTTTTGATTTTTTAAGACAGGGTCTCATTCTATAGTACAAGCTAGCCTAGAACTCACTACATAGCCTAGACTGGTCTCAAACTCCTGGGAATACCCCTGCCTCCATCTCTGCAGCAATAGATTACAGTCATGAACCACTACATCCCAACACACATAATTTTTAAAAAGTTATTTATTTTATATTGTGTGTATGTGTACACACCTGCATGTCATGGCACACACGTGGTCAGAAGACAACTTGTGGAAATCAGTCCTTTTTTTCTACCATGTGGGCTCAAGAGATCAAATTCATGTCTTTATGCTTGTAAACAAGTGCTTTTAGCCATTGAGTCATCTCACCAGCCCACATAAATTTTTCTTTTTACAGGACCCAAACCAAGATAGATGTTTAATCCCAGCACTCGAGAAGTAGAGGCAAGCAGATCTTTTGTGAGTTCAAGGCCATTCTGGTCTACAAAGCAATTTCCAGGACAGCCAAGGCTACACAGAGAAACCCTGTCTAGAAAAACAAAAAGAAGAGAGACCCAAGCCAAGCAAATCTTTGCCTGATCCAGAGTCCTTAAGAGAACTAGTGGACACTAGGGCTTGCAAACTTAAAAGATAAGAAAAATCCTGTGCTACAGAGTAGACAGAGGAGTACTGCCAGAGTCTAAGGCTAGTCTAGGTTAGGTACTGAGTTCTAAGGAAGCCTAGACAATGCAGTGAGACCCTGTCTCAAAAACCACAAGAGAAGGACAGTGCAAACCAGAAACACTACTCTACCCAGGTAACAGCTCAGAGAGTGCAGGAGCAGCACTCACACCCGTAACTGAAGTTTACTTACCAGAATCAGTAGAGCCGAACTCTCTCAGCGCCCTCTCATAATATTCCCGCAGGTTTGCCATCTTGCAGGGGTCCTGTAACAACAACCAGATCTGCCTTCATCCATCTAATCATAAACCCACTTTGCCTCTATTTTAAGCAATTACTGTTAGGTGTTTGAAGGAGAAGGATCAAACCAGCCTAGTTCTCAACTTATCCCAAAAAAGTATGAAAAAACCAGGATGCTGGGATGGCTCAGCAGCCAAGGACACCTGACACCAAGCCTGACAGCCTTAGCTCAATTCCCAGCACCCACATGGCAGAAGCTGAGACTCAACTCCCAAAAGTTGACCTCTGACTGTCACACTCACACTGTAGCACACAAAAAATAAATAAGACCAAGAGAAGAAAAAACACGTTTACCGGAATAAAGTGAATGTCGACCAGGAAAGCACTTAGCTGGCTGACATGGGAAAAGTCTAATTATGTTGTCAGGGTGGAACTGGCGAGGTGTCACAGGAGTAACTCTTGAAACCCCCGAGGGGCTGAGTGGAATTTAAGTGAACAAAGAAACAGACAGTTCTGTAGCCTATGCTAGGACTTCTTCCTTTTGAGAATTTGTGCTCTAAGTTATGACCACCTTAAAACCTTTTTTGGGGGCGGAGGGGGAGCGCAAGATTTCATCATGCATAATGCAGCTCAGGTTGGCAGAGTTCATAGTGTTTGGTCAGTCACTGACACCCCTATATCCAGAGTCTGGTATGTTTGGGTGGAACTTTCTATCCAAGGCCCCTCCCCTGGTAGTTGCCTCAGTCCAGACTCCACATCCAAGAAAGCCCGCCAAATGGTGACCCCTCCCAGGAGAGGCTTGAGACCACTCCCACAGGGTATTTAAACTGTCCCCCAGAGAACAAACACGTGGTCTTCTGGTCTTCCTTTCCCCTCTCTGTATTTTCCCAGTCTTTCCTTTCTTGGGACTGGAAGGCCACCCGGGAGCGCTGGCACCCATTAAACCTGAGCTTTTTCTAATTTGGTTTGATTTGGTCTGATTTGGATTATTGTGTCAGCAGAGGTTTGTTGGGCAGCAAAAACCTTTCACAGAGCAATCCTCCTAGGTGCTGGGATTAAAGGCATGAGTCGCCATACCTAGCTCTAAAACTCCTATCACAATAACACATAAATACAAGTACATGATTATCAAGCTCCTTGAGGCTTCTAACATTAAGTACTTCTTCCCTTGGAAAGCACCTCAGCACCATTACAGGTCACAAAGTGTGGCCTATGTCAGAACACAGTCCAGGAACTGAGTCAGTTGAGAAGAAAGAATTCTTGTTAGATTACTCCAAGAAAACAAGACAGAAATCTCGTGACCTCAGTTTCTTCAAAAGCACAGAATCGTTCTTAGAATGTGTTTTCAGGCTCCTTCCAGGTGCAGCAGATAGGAATGACCTCACTTCAGATTACTTGTTATTGCTTGCTGTTGTTATTCAATTATCCTTTATATGCCCTCTATGGAAAGCATATTTTTGCCAGTGGCTTGTCCTTGTGATTATACATAGTCTGAACTCATGAGAACTTTATACATGTGACCTGCCTTAACCCTGAGTATAAATTGTCTGAGGCTCCAAATAAAGTTGGCTGTTGCATGAGATTTTAGTCCACCTCGTTTATTGGTTCCATTCTCCTAGGCCCTCCCACCTCTACAGTGATGACAGGCTATGACCTAACAGAATATTGGGCACTGCTTTTGTAGCTCTGGCTGTCATTGAACTCTGTGAACTAAGAATGACGTCTGGAACTCCTGTTCCTCCTGCCTCCACCTCCTAAGTGTTGAGACAACAGGTGTTCATCAGCACACCCAGTTTATGTGGAGCTGGAAATGAAAGCCAGGGCTCTGCGTGCTAGGAAAGCCCCTACACGGCACCTCTAGCTCCACTTTGAGTGCATTTTCACAGCAGATTAACATCGTCTAAAGTCTTTTTGTTGTTGTTATTTTGTGGTTTTGTGTGTGGTGTTTTGATTGTTTTTGGTTTTTCGAAACAGGGTTTCTCTGTGTGCCCTACCTGTCCTGGAACTCACTCTGTAGACCAGGCTGGTCTCGAACTCAGAGATCTGCCTGTCTGCCTCCTGGTTACCACCATCCACTAAACTGAAGTCTTTTGTATGGGGCCGGGAGAGTTAAGAGCACTTGCTGCTCTTGCAAAAGACCTTAGCTCTTTCCTAGCCTAATACCTGGTGAGATGTGTTTTTATCAAAGCTTGTCCCTGACAATTGCACTATACATATTCTTTCTATCCAGTATCCCATTGGCCTTACATGTCTCATACACTTTTAGCAGGCAGAGGGCCTTCTTATATAGATGAGGCTAAATCATACAATTAAGTGACTTGACCACAGCTTAACTATGACATTAATAATCCAGAGATTGGTTATTAAGTATTATGTTGAACTGTCTCATCATGTAAGACTATACTATACTTCAGCACAACAGGTACCTGATTTAAGCAACAATAGTCAAAACCATTCCTATGCTCAGGATACCTCCCAGTGTCTCAGTAGATTTCCTGTTGCCTGCAAGATGTAGGACTCTGAGCTACTTCTCCAGCACCACATCTGCCTGCACGCCTCTATGCCCTCAGCCATGATGATAAGGAACCAAGCCTCTGAAACTGTAAGCGAGCCACCCAATTAAATGTTTTTCTCAGAAAAAAAAAAAAAAAAAAAGTCAAAACCATGAAAACAAGAGCTCTTGGGGCCGGGTTGTTGTGGCGCATGCACCTTTAATCCCAGCACTCGGGAGGTGGAGGCAGGCGGATCTCTGTGAGTTCGAGACCAGCCTGGTCTACAAGAGCTAGTTCCAGGACAGGCTCCAAAACCACAGAGAAACCCTGTCTCGAAAAAAAAAAAAACAAAAAAACTACAGGGAAACCGTGTCTTGAAAAACAAAAAACAAACAAACAAACAAACAAACAAAAAAAAAAACAGGAGCTCGACCTCACTAGTAATTTTTCAAATTTCAAATAAAAATAAATCCCTTCCATGTGAAATATAACAAAATCAAAGAAATTTAAAAAAAAGCTTGAATACTTAGAGAAGCTATGAGGAAATAGGTATACTCATCTATTAGCCATCTCTATAAACAACTATAATTCTTTTGGAAGACTATATATTAGTAAAGTAACTGTTAATTCTTTTGGAAGACAACATGTTAACATATATAACATATATGGTGGCACGTATCTGAGTTTTTAAGAATTTTTTTTATAGATTTCTCTATTTTTTTTGTCTGCATGGAAGCCAGAAGAGGGTGTTTGATCCCTTGGAACTGAAGTTACAGACAGTTGTTAGGAGTCCTGTTATAAAGCCCTGGCTGGCCTAGAACTCACTACATAGAGCAGGCTGGACCTCAAACTCTCAGAGGTCCTGAGTGCTGGGACTAAAGACAAACACTACACTATCACCCTGAGTGTGTAACTGATTTTCACCCTCCTCATAAATCACAGTTAAAACCACCGGGAACAGTTTTTAAGCGCTCATCTACAGCCCAAGACAGGAGAACAGTGCACCTTGGCGGCAAGCAGCGGTGCAGGGAAGCTTCCTGGGCATCAGCTTCCTGCTCTCCAGACACACACCTTCTCATCTCGGCTTGATTACCATTCTTAGCAGTTCTATGGACAGAGGCTGATCCAGGGGACCAGGAGCTCACACTCCACTCTAAAGTTTAAACAAAAGATGCTGCCCTGGGTAATAACCACAGAGCCTCGTTTCCAGGCAGGAAGTGCTCAGAATACTCACCTGCTCCTTTTCAAACTGTATCATTTTCCTGAAAAAATCAACTGAAAACGGGCGGCTTTCCTGCAGACTAAAAGGAGTGGGTAAATGTTAGTTCCCACAAAGACAGAAGGCCTTTTACAGCTAATAAGCATGGATACATAACAAGACTTTGCTTCCACAACAGCTTTAACAAAAACTCAGCACCAGTCTCAGGCACAACTGGATCTGACGGAGTCACTCCCATGCCTCAACTTCGAGTGACCGACCCCTTACCACCCTTGAACAGTTTCCCACACACATTTTCTGTGCTGTTGCTGTTCATTTGTTTGTTTTGTTTTTATAACATGTTTCTCTATGTTGCCCTGTTTGGTCTCTATGCACTAGCTAGGTTCAGATGGTCTCCTGGGGTTACAGGCATGTTCTACCGCATGAGGCTCCACACATCTGCTTTAAACAACTCCTGCTATGGAGCAGCTTCACTGCAGAGGAAAGCAGACAATCCAACGCTTAAGCGATGGTATTCAAAACTGGAATTACAGAGTGCATCAACTATGTAAGACACAATCACTAAGATGATGTAATAGGCTAGAGATCCAGCTCCGTATTCAACCCCTATCTAAGTGCAAGGCCCTGGCTCAATCCCTACTGCTTTAAAAAGAAATGATCTGTGACAGAGCTGTTTGCACTAGTGACACAATTACAGTCATCAATGAGCTAAATGTCATTTCCTCTGCTTGTATGCATTGTTTTAACTATACGAAAACAGAAAAAGGAAGTAAGTTTTGAAAGTCTCTCTGATAGCACTTCAGACACTATTGTAATGCACATACTCTGGGTATGAAGGACTGAGTGTGGGCAGGAGCACTCACGAGTACCTTTTAAACACTGTTCTGGACTTTTTGTAGCCACCACTTCGATAAGCCCAATCCAGGTATTTCTCCTTCAGAGTTATTGAACTGGCACCTGTGACAGCTGAAATAGCTCTCTACATTTAAAAGAAAAGAAACAAAAACAAGCTCTGTAAAGGAACTTAGTGATATCAAAACATATTACTAAGACACACCACAAGGCACTAAGTAGAGGATTGAGCTATGACCACAAGGGACAGAAGAGGGGGCCTGTACCTTAAAGATTGCGTCAGTGTCCTCCTGGCTTTTAGCACTTTCACTCCACTCGGCCCAAGAAATCCACAAGGGCAGACAAGTCTGCTCACAAAAACAACAACAACAAAAATTGTTAGATTTGACCTTCCCAGCACTGTGCTCTGAACACTCATCACTGTAAGGACAGGGTCACTGCAGCCTCCTAGCCAAATCATCCGGAGGAACACTTCAATAATTGAGTTCAATTCTGACGGGAATCCTGGCTATAGTCATCAGGAGCCATTGCCTTTCAGTTAAACAAGCAAATAAAAGCCACACACAGTCAGCCCCACAGCTACCCAGGTCATGAGTCTGTGGTCTAGGAACACTTCATAAGAACTGATCTAGGCTGGCCTACCTGACCGTCATTGTGGAGAGACAGGTAGAGAGCAGAAAGCAGTAATGTACTTTGTTCCCCAAAGTAAGTTTAGAACATTAACATTTAGATTTTTGTGATTTCAAGAGGAGTTTATGAACAGATGTGGATGCAAGTGAAAATATTCTATTAATGTTTCTCATTTGTAAACCATTTAAGCAGAATAAGAAATCCTACATGATTTAGTAAACTTACAAATAAAGGATTAGAAATATAAGTAACTTCTCTTCAGTCCTAACATTTAATAACAATTATTCTAGCATTTGCTCTCTTTAGACAAGCTTATTTTACTAATAAGCTTTCATAAAATCTTAAAAGGTTTCTGAGCCAGGCGATGGTGGCACACACCTTTAATCCCAGCACTCAGGAGGCAGAGGCAGGCAGATCTCTGTGAGTTCGAGGCCAGCCTGGTCTACAAGAGCTAGTTCCAGGACAGGAACCAAAAGCTACGGAGAAACCCTGTCTCGAAAAATCCAAAAAAAAAAAAAAAAAGTTTCTGAAAAGACAATTGGAGGGCTTGAGAGATGGTTCCAGAGGTCCTGAGTTCCTGAGTTCAATTCCCAACAAACACACAGTGGCTCACAGCCATCTGCAATGAGATCTGGTGCCCTCTTCTGGCCTGCAGGCATACATGCAGACAGAATACTGCATTTTTTTTTAAATATTTATTTATTATGTATACCATATTCTGTCTGTGTATATGCCTACAGACCAGAAGAGGGCACCAGACCCTATACAGATGGTTGTGAGCCACCATGTGGTTGCTGGGAATTGAACTCAGGACCTTTTGAAAGAGCAGGCAATGCTCTTAACCTCTGAGCCATCTCTCCAGCCCCTGCATTTTTTTAAAAAGAGGGCTGGAGATACTCAGTTCATAGAGTTTAGCCTGCACAAAGCCCTGGGTTCAATCCCCAGCACTACATAAAGCAGACATGGTGAAGTGTGCCTATAAATCCCAGCACTCAGAAGGTGGAAGCAGAAAAATCAAAGTTCAAGGTTCTCCTTAGGCCAGTCTGGGCTACATGAGACCCTGTCTTTTAAAAATGAAAAATAAGGGGCTGGAGAGATGGCTCAGAGGTTAAGAGCACTGGCTGCTCTTCCAGAGGTCCTGAGTTCAATTCCCAGCAACCACATGGTGGCTCACAACCATCTATGATAAAATCTGATGTTCTCTTCTGGTGTGCAGACATACATGCAGGTAGAATTCTGTATACATAATAAATAAATCTAAAAAAAAAATTAAAAATGAAACAAACAAACAAAAATCAGTTTTCCAAAAAGAGTTGAACTGGGAGTTGGTTCTGTGATCAAGAACATTTGTTGCGAAGGACCGGGGTTCCATTCCCAGCAGCAATATGAAGACTCAACACCTCCTTGGGCTCATACACACACATGGGACACAGACATACATGCAGGTAAAGCACTCATACATATAAAATAATTAATTAATTAATGAAATATGAAAGACACAATTCACAGACCTGGGGTTTGAGGTGTGCAAAGGCTTCTTCAAAATGCATAGCTACATCTGGGCTCTTTGACCCAATGAGCACCTGTAGCTTCATCTGCCACATTGTTGCAGAGTCTTTGAACAAGTCAGTCCCAGCTTCTGCCACCTGCAAAGCTTCTTTAAAGAGGTCCTGTCGCAGCAACAAGTCAACCTGAGAAAGACAAAGCACATGTAAAGTGCCACTTGAAAGCAAATGACATATATAAAGAAAGGCATATAAAGACTATGACAATAATCTCAACAGCCTTCCCATTACACCTTTCCCCACAGCTGATATAGGGCATCTGGAATTCCCCCTTCTTCCCCTGCTCCTACCCATAGGACAACAAGAAAATCAGAGAGACGGGCTGAGGAGAGAGATGGCTCAGCAGGGAAAGAAGGCTGCCCAGCAACCCAGTCAGCTGAGTTCTCTCTCAGGATCCCACACTGAAAGGAAGAATCACTTCCCAAAAATACCTCTCCTCACACATGTCATGACAGATACAAACATAAAATCATAGTATTTCCTTTCAGAAAAATCAGCAGAGAAGGGATGAAAAGCAGAATCTAAGTAATTTAAGCTAGAACCCACACCCACTAGAGCATACTAAAGATAAAAATAACATCTGTAGACTCAAAAGAAAATAGATATATTCATTCAATGTACTTTACTGGTATAACTTTTCCAAACGTAATTTGACACTATATAACAAGAATCATGGAGGGCTAGAGAAGTTAAAGTTCAGGGATTAAGAGCTCTAGCTGGGGCTGGAGAGATGGCTCAGAGATTAAGAGCATTGACTACTCTTCCAGAGGTCCTCAGTTCAATTTCCAGCAACCTCATGGTGGCTCACAATCATTTATAACGAGATCTGCTGGGCAGTGGTGGCGCATGCCTTTAATTCCAGAAAAGGCAGAGGCAGGTGGATCTCTGTGAACTCAAGGCCACCTGGTCTACAGAGCAAGTTCCAGGACAGCCAAGCTGTTTCAGAGAAACCCTGTCCTGGGAGAAAAAAAAAAAGTGTTTGTGAGTGTACACGTGTGTGTTTTGATATAGGTGTGTGTGTGTGCACACAAGCATGTGCACATGAAAGCCAGAGGTTGCTTTCCACAATCACTATCCTTTTTTTTCCACGAGTGCGGTCATGCAGATAGAGGTCCAAAGCTGATGTTAGCTTCAGCCATAGCTCTCCACCTTATTCACTGAGGCAGGGTCTCTCAACTAAACCCAGAGCTCACCTCAGAGCTAATCTAACTTAGCCAGGTTACTCAGAGCATTGTCTTTCCCTTCAGCACACTAGAATTCCAGGCATTTACATGGATACTGGGGATCCACACCCTGGTCCTGACACTGTACGGCAAGCACTTACCAGCTGAGCCATCTCCCAGCCCTCCACTCTATGTTTTAGGATAGTGTTTCTCACTGAACCTGGAGCTCATCTACTCAGCTCAACTGATGACCTCCAGGGTCTGCCTGTCTCTGCCTTCCCAGCACTGGGATTACAGTGCCAGTACTGCAAAAATGACAAGAGTAAGAGAAAGCAAAGGGAAGGAGGAGGGAGGAGAAGGGTGAAAGGGAGGGAACCCAGGAAGGGTGGGAAGCAGAAGGGAAAGGAAGAAATAGGGAAGGGAGAAAAGAGAAAAGGCCTGGAAGAAGGCCCTGCAGTTAAGAACACTGGTTATTCTTCCAGAGGACTGGAGTTCAATTCTCAACACCCACATGTCATCAACAACCATCCGTTCCATGAGATCCAAAACCCTCTTTCACCCTCCACATATATGTTAGACATACATATATGCAGGCTAAACACTCATATGTATAAAACAAAAAAATAAATCCTTTGCTGGATGATGGTGGCACACACCTTTAATCCCAGCACTCAAGAGACAAAGGCAAGCAGATCTCTGAGTTCGAGGCCAGTCTGGTCTACAGAATGAGTTCCAGGACAGCCAGAGCTGCTACACAGAGAAACCTGGTCTCAACAAAAGAAAAACAAGCTGGGAGGTGGTGGCACATGCCTTTAAAGCACTCAGGAAGCAGAGGCAAGTGAGTCTCTGTGAGTTCAAGGACAGTGCCTTGAACAGGACAGGCTCTAAAGCTACACAGAGAAACCCTGTATTGAAAAAAACAAAAATCCTTAAAAAAAAAAAAAAGGGGGGGGGGGAACGTGGAAGAGAAGAGACACAGAAGGGAGGAAAAGAGAAAAGGGGACGGGAATGCCGAGTAGGCTTGCTCTGATGTTCTGTTTTGGTGTTCTATAAGTTAAATCAGAATGAAGTATTGAAGTATACGTAATTGGCGATGAAAGTGCTTTCTATGGCCTTACCCACTGCTTGTACTGGGCTTCAGAAAGGAGCTTCAGTTCATGGGCCTTCCTGAATGCAAGCATGGTTCTTTCCAGCCTCTGAAATCAGAAACATCTGGGGTCATTAGACAGACTCTGGCAGGGGCCTCTGGCCACAAATCTGGGCAGAGTGCTCTTGAACATTTCTGAGAATTCTGAGATGGGACCCAGTTCTGAATGGGGGTCACTCATGATGAGAAGAGCTATGTACCTGCACCTGGCACAGGCCAGTAGGGGCAAAGCAGACTAGATCTTCATGATGACAGGTCACCCATAGCGAAAGTCAAGTGGTTAAGTCTGAAATTCTGGGAGCTAACCCAAACCCCAAAAGAACTCCATCCTTGTTTGGTAGCTATGCAACGGAAATCCTTACCTGTCCTCTGAGGGGTACGCTACTGGTCTTCTTAGAAAACCTTTCCAAACAAAAGTTGATGTAACACTTCCACATGGCCTCTGGAAAAGTCAGGTGACATTAATTAGCTCACTATCCTTAGTCCAAACATCTTCTTTTCAAAGGGAAACTCCTCTAGAAAAAAGTTTAAGTTAGCAGCTAGAGATGCCCCAGTGGTTGAGAACATTTGCTGCTCTTCCAGAGGACCTGATTTAGGATCCTAACATCCTAACTGAGTGGCTCACAACCACTTGCAAATCCAGCTCCAAGGGATCCGACAACCTCTTTTGGCTTCTGTGGATACCAGCACATGTGACATTATTCACTCACCGGGACAAACACACATACACATAAAATATTTTTAAAAATAATAAAAATCATTTTTAAAAAGAAATTTTAAGCTGGGCACTGGTGGCGCATGCTTGTAATCCCAGCACTTGGGAGGCAGAGGCAGTAGGATCTCTGTGACTTCAAGGCCAGCCTGGTCTACAGGGCAAGTTTCAGGACAGCCAGAGCTGTTACACAGAGAAACTCTGTCTTGAAAAACCAGGGGGAAAAAAACAAAAGTTTAAATTGACCTGGATTTAAAAAAAAAAACACTCCCATTACAGAGAATCAGACATCAATCAGATACTGGGGGAAAGCAACTGGGTAATGACATAAACTCTCTTCTGTTTTTCTCTTCTACTGGGGACTGAACTCAGGGCACACGCTTGCTCTACCACTGAGTTACATCCCTCTACAGGAGACTCCCATAGCAATCAAGTGTTGACAATGAGACAATCAGTTTCACATTCCCGTACTGTTACTCTCAGCACAGACAGACTCACCTGTAGGCAGAGTCTTCACTGCCTCTTCGTACACTGCACAGCACCTTTCCTCCCTTCGGCCCACTTCCACGGCTTTGGCTTGCTTTGATACAGGCTGCTCTTCACCTGGCTGGGACTCGATCTCTAATTCTCGCCGTGCCACATAATCCCAAGTGAGTGGGTCATCGGTGTGCAGAGCTTGAAGGCTGAAAATTACAGCTCACTGGCACCCGCCCCATGGTGAGAAACTAATTCCAGACTAATGGAGTTCTGATGATCTACTAAAGGACACCCTTTTACAGCTGCAATAAGTCTATACATTGCCAGAACAGCTTAATGTATAGACTTATCAATGGAACAGAGCTGTTAATTATCAATAAAATTTCAGAATGTTTCAGGCACCATTACAAATGTTAACTTTTAGCTGGACATGGTGGCACAAGCCTATATTCCCAGCGAGTCCCATAAATTCAAGGCCAGCCTGAGCTACATATTAAGTTTCAGACCCTGCTTTTAAATAAATAAATAATAAACAAACACCTAACAAGTATTAACTTTAAAATTATAATAGCTCTTGCTGGGTGATGGTAGCACACACCTTTAATCCCAGCACTTGGGAGGTAGAGGCAGGTGGATTCTCTGTGAGTTTGAGGCCAGCCTGGTCTACAGAATGAGTTCCAAAATAGCCAGGGCTGTTATACAGAGAAACCCTGTCACAAAACAAACAAAGAAAAAATTATAATATCTCAGGGACTGAAAAGATGGTTCATGGTTAAAAGTACCAGCTACAGCTGGGCGGTGGTGGCGCACACCTTTAATCTTAGCACTTGTGATGGAGGTGGGTCTTGTAATAATAAAGAAACTGCCTCGGCCCTCATAGGACAGAAAATTAGGTAGGCGGAGTAGACAGAAGAGAATTCTGGGAAAAGGAAGCTTAGTAGAGGAGTCGCCATGATTCTCCCGCTCCAGACAGACGCAGGTTAAGATCCTCTCTGGTAAGCCAACTCATGGGCTACACAGAATATTAGAAATGGGTTAGAACAATATGTAAGAGCTAGCCAATAAGAAACTGGACCTAGCCGGGCCAGGCAGTATTTGAAAGAATACAGTTTCCGTGTAATTATTTCTGGGTATAAACTAGCCATGCGGGCGGCCGGGTGCCGGGGACGCAGCCCCGCCGCTCCTATTTCAACACACTTGGGAGGAAGAGGCAGGTGGATCTCTGTGAGTTAGAGGCCAACCTGGTCTACTCTTCTAGAGGTCCTCAGTTCAGTTCCCAGCATATATGTGGCAGCTTAGAACCATCTATAATTGGAGATTACAACCATGTATAATTGTATTAATGTATAATTGCATTTGGTGTGCAAATGTACATGCAGGCAAAAAACACCCATGCACATAAATTAATAAATCTTTTTAAAAAACTATAATAGCTCAAGCTGGGCAGTGGTATCCAAGCACTCAGAAGGCAAAGGTAGGTGGACCTCTGTGAGTTTGAGGTCATCCTGGTCTACAATGCTAGTTCCAGAACAGCGAGGGCTACACAAAGAAATCTGTCTCAAAAAGAGAAAAACAATTATGATAGCTCTCCAAATCAGATCAGCAGTTATCTGTGGCCACAGAAGCCTGGAGAGCCTGGGTTCTTGAATTCTTATAACAGAGGCAGAGAAAAAGCACAACCTAATCCTGTACCAAAACCCTGAAGACATCCAAAGAACAAACTGATGCATGGTCTAGTTTACCTCTCATGACCCCAGAAAAGGAACCTAAGAATGGAAGTAACTAATGTAAGCGCTATGCAGTAGTTTGAATGAGAAACATTTCCCACAGAGGACCATGGATTTGAACACTCGGTCTCCAGTTTGAAGCACTGTTTGGGGAGGTTATGCAATCTTTCAAAAGTACAACCTTGCAGGAAAAAGGACATCAGTGGGGGCAGGGTTTGTGGGGTTATAGCCATATTTCACTTCCGCTCACTCTCTCTGCTTCCTGTGTTCAGGTAAAGATGTGATCAGTCAGCTTCCTGCTCGTACCAGCAAGCCATGTCTTTCCCACCATATGGACTCCAGCCCTCTGGAACCATAAACTAAAATAAGCCCTTTCTTCTGTAAGTTGTTTTTGGTCATGGTGTTTCATCACAGCATAAAAATTAACTAATACACGCAAATAATTCCTTTTTTTTTTTTTTGGTTTTTCGAGACAGGGTTTCTCTGTAGCTTTGGTGGCAAATAATTCTTAAATACCAGAACCAGACACTGCAGCTTAAATTATCAACAATAAGCTATAACAAATTATGAACACAACTCTGATTTTGCAGAAAAGAATATATTCTGACATAAGCTTTTAGAAAATGATGGTAAAATGCATTCTATTTTAGAAACAAAGCCCATTACTTAAAAAAAAACACTGCAAGAATATATATTTTCTATTCATAATATAACATAATTTTTCCTGAAGTTTGTAAAGCATATTCTTTTTTCCTTTTTGGTTTTTTGAAACAGAGTGTCTCTGTATTGTCCTCGAACTCACTCTGTAGACTAGGCTAGCCTCAAAACTCAAGAGATCTGCCTGTCTCTGCCTCTGCCCCACAAGTGCTAAAATTAAAGGTGTGCACCACCTCTGCCAGGTATATATTCTTTTTCACTTCTCTACAGCCTCAAATGTTTATCACAAGACCAGAAATAGACATGTTCACCTTACCATTATTTAACTTACTCATCATAAATTTCTTTTTGTAGATCTTTGGCAAAATCAAAAAGTTGTGCAATTGAAAGAAGTGACACATGAAATTCTGCACCTAAAATTTAAAAATCAAGGGAGGTTTGTTGTTAAATTGCAAAGACAGACTTCTGTTCCCAACATATAAACAAAGACATTAATATTTTGAAATATTTCTAACTACTCCTAAGTTTCATAAACTAAAGGGCATATGGCAAAGAATTAAATCATCTACTACTTTCCAACTCCCCCAAATCAGTTGACTACTCAACAAAATCTTTGAAATGCCCAATGATAGCTCAGAAGGAAGCTTTGCCACACGTTAATAATTCTTTCTATCACAAAGAGAACACCTACACCCCCCCAAAAAAAATCCAGAGAATACTTACCTTTAATCTTGCTTACAGAATTTTTGTAAATGATCCGTGCCAACTCGCCCTCAAGGATTTCTTCAGGATGATCAAAACTCCCCTACAAAGTGTACATCAACCATAACTGAAAAAACAATACCAGGAAGTACAAACAAACAAACAAACCCCACCAAGATGGAAATTAAGTGTCCTAGACAACAGTGCACAGGACTTCTGACAAATCCAAATTCTGAGGCCAGTTCCTTCACTTGTAAAGTGTGCAGACTGAAGCTCACTAATCATCCTGCTCCTTCTCTCAGGTGATCTTAGCCTCACTCTCCATTTAGACCAGAACAGATTGGGCTACACATGCTTTGATGACCCCTCTATATAGTATTTTATTTGAATAAAAAAAGTTTTGAGGACTGGGGAAATGGGTCAGTTGATAAGGTGCTTGTCACACAAGTATAAGTAACCAAATTTGTAAATCCCCAGTATTCATGCAAAAAAACAGATGTGGTAGCACACGCCTGAAATCCTAGTGGTAAGAGAAAGGGACCTACTGACCAGCTAGTCTAATCAAATAGATGAGTTCCACATTCAGGGACTTTATCTCAAAAAAAAAAAAAAAAAAAAAAAAAAAAAAAAAGGTGGAAAGGACCAGTGAGATGGCTCAACAGGCAAAGGCACTTTGTCACCAACCCTTATGACAGTTCAGTACCTGGGACTCATGAGGTAGAAGGAGAAAACCAACTCGCACAAGTTGTCCTCTGACCACCATACACATACTATGGTACCTGTGTGCTCCCGTCCCAACACACATACAAACAGATGAATAAAAGTATATTACAGCTAGGCACAGCTTTAATCCCAGTACTCAGGAGGCAGAGGCAGGCAAGTGGGTCCCTATGAGTTCAAGGCCAGCCTGGTCAACATATGAGATCTAGGCAAGGCAGAGCCAAAGAGACTCTGCCTCAAAAATAAATAAACAAATAAAATATAGTAATTGGTTTTTTTTGTTTGTTTGTTTGTTTTTGTTTTTTCAAGACAGGGTTTCTCTGTGGCTTTGGAGCCTGTCCTGGAACTAGCTCTGTAGACCAGGCTGGTCTCGAACTCACAGAGATCCGCCTGCCTCTGCCTCCCGAGTGCTGGGATTAAGGTGTGCGCCACCATCGCCCGGCTGTTTTTTTATTTTAATAAGCCAGTGAGATGGTTTCTTGCATAAATATGCCTGCTGCCAAGTCTGATGATCTGAGCTGGATTCCTGGGATAACTGATGGAAGGAGAAACCAACTCCTCTAAGTTATCCTCTGACCTCTACAGGTACACTATGGCACACAAATAAATAAATATAATTTAAAAAACAAATTAAGGGCTGTTGAGATGGCTCAATGAGTAAAGATAGCTGCTGCCAACCTGACCACCTAAGATGGATCCCCAAGGCCCATGTGATGAAGGACAGAACCAACTCCTACAAGTTTTCCTCCACACACATACCATGATATGTGCTCCCCACAAAACAATATTTTCAAATGTAATTAGAAAATAAGATACTAGGTAAAAAAGCAACCTCTGGCTACCACATACATGTACATACACATGCAATTCTTACACTCCCTTACATACAAATGCTCTGCATAACATATACCACATGTGCATACCCCACCTATACACAAAGTCATGAACTGAAAACACAGTTAACAATATAGCAAGTTCCGGGGCTGGAGAGATGACTCAGCAGTTAAGAGCACTGACTGCTGTGCCAGAGGTCCTGAGTTCAATTCCCAGCAACCACATAGTGCTCAGAACCATCTATAATGAGATCTGGTGCCCTCTTCTGGGGAACAGAACACTGTATACAAAATAAATAAATTAAAAAAAAAACAGTATAGCAAGTTCCTTTGTTTCTGTTTCTGTTTTATCTTTTGAATACAGGGTCTTGCTATGTATCCCAAGACGGACTAGAACTCACATTTCTTCTAGTTCAGATCACAAATACTAGGATTACAGGTATGCCCCATATTACCAGCCCTAACACTCAACACTCTTTATTTAAAGTTATTCTGTCACATTTCAAATTATATAAAAAGGAAAAGAGCTAGAAAGGGTGGAACACACCTATAATCTCATCTCCCTGAAGGTTGAGGCAGGAGGATCAAGAGTTCCAAGTTTGCTGGGTGGTGGTGGCACACACTTCTAATCCCAGAGGCAGACAGGTGGACCTCTATGAGTTTGAGCCCAGCCTGGTCTACAGAGTGAGTTCTAGGACAGGCTCCAAAACTACACAAAGAAACCCTGTCTTGAAAAACAAAAAAAAGGAAAAAGAAAAAAAAAGTTCCAGGTTTGAGTCAGAAAGATGGTTCAGTACAAAAAGGATCCATATGGTGGAAAGAGAAAGAGGGAACAACAGTTCAACTCCCTCAAACTATCCCCTGACATCATGACATAAACAAACACATGTACACGCAAATGTAATCCTAAAGTAAATTACAAATTTATCTGTAAGTGAAAAATGTGACATTAAATTGGAAAGGAAAATGTATCTCAAAGATTCTTCTTTTACTTGTAAGCAGGCTCAAAAGGCTAACAACTGACAGCACACTGAACTCTTACCATCTCCATGGCAGCCTTTTCAAACTCCTCCTTTTCCTTCCTCAGTTTCTCAGCATGCATCAGCTCCATCCTAAAGTACTACAAAAAGGAAATAATGACCTAGAAATCCTTAGAGATGCTTTTAAATTAAAAATATCCAAGATGGCTTCTTTTAAATCATTAGTATCAGATACAGGGAAAAGAGGGACCATATTTTACACTGGAATGAAACTAGCTGTTATTGATATGTGATGGAAGAGATTATTTGACATGTAATCCAAGTGTATGAGCCAAAAGACTGAATGGAAGTTTCTGCAAGTAATTTCATTTAATCTCATCCATACACAGTAAAAAGTATCCACAAGGGCTGAGTAACTCAGATTTCTATCCCATTTAGCAACAAAGATGCAGAGCCATGTGAAAATACACTTACTAAACAAAAACTGTCACTTCCTTAGGGTGGTGGTTGAATGAGAATGGCCCCACAGGTTTATGCGTTTGAACAGTTGGTCCCCAATTGGTGGAAAGATTAGGAGGTAAGGTAAGGTAAGATTAAGGAGGTGTGACCTTAGAATAGGCTTTGAGGTTTCTAAAGCACACATCATTCTAATTAGCTCTCTTTCTGCCTCATGCTTATAGATCAGAGGTAAGCTCTCAGATACTGCTCCAGCATCAAGCCTGCCCGCTGCCATGCTCCCTGCAATGATGGTCATGGACTTTAATCTAAATTAAATGCTTTCTTTTATAAATTCTCTTGGTCATGGTATTTTGTCAGGACAATAAAAAAGTAACTGCAGGGTGCAGAGGCTCATACCTTTGATCCCAACACTTGGGAGGCAGAGGCAGGTAAATGCCTGTGAATTCAAGGCCAGTTTGGACTATGTAGTGAGTTTCAGGATGGCCAGGGCTATGTAGAGAGACTCCAAAAAGGGAGGGAGTGAGGAAGGAAGGAAAGAAAGAAACAAACTAAGACATTTAATCTCACAAAATAATAGCCACAATTATGGATTGTGGATCACTAATCATAACAAGATCCAGAAAGTATCGATGCATACACACATGGCTTCAACATCAACCTTTTACTCCACATGCACATTCACACAAAACAATAATTCTTGCCAGGCCTGGAGGTGCATGCCTTTAATCGTGGCACTAGGGAACCAGAAGCAGAGGCAGGCAATCTCTGTGAGGTCAAGGCCAGCCTGTCTACTAACAGTAAGTTCCAGGACAGCCAAAGATACACAGAGAAACCCAGTCTCAAAAAAACAAATAATAATAAAAATAATTTTTAAAAATTAAAAAATCCACTTTTAAAAATTAGTCATATTTGTCGGGCAGTGGGGTCACACACCTTTAATCCTAGCGCTCTTAAGGCAGAGGCAAGTGGATATCAGTGAGTTCAAGGCCAGCCTGGTCTCCAAAGCTACAGTAAAACCACTTCTCAAAAAACCAAAACAAACAAATAAATAAAAATAAAGGAACAAAGCCGGGCATATGGTGGCGCAAGCCTGTAATCCCAGCACTCGGGAGGCAGAGGCAGGCGGATCTCTGTGAGTTCGAGACCAGCCTGGTCTACAGAGCTAGTTCCAGGACAGGCTCCAAAGCCACAGAGAAACCCTGTCTCGAAAAGAAAAAAAAAAAGAAAGAAAGAAAGAAAGGAAGGAAGGAAGGAAGGAAGGAAGGAAGGAAGGAAGGAAGGAAGGAAGGAAGGAAGGAAGGAAGGAGCCAAATTTTAAGAAAACACAATTACCCATTAGAAAAAAGAAAAAAATGCAGAGCAGAAAGGGGAAAAAATAACTACATTTTAAGCAGTATACTCACTTCTTGATAGAGTTTAGGACACTCAGGATGAAATCGTAGAGCCCGAAGAAATAACTGTCTGGCACTTTCTGAAGACAAACGATCTTCCATTTCCCATTTGGCTGCCATAATCCACAAAGCTATAGGAAAAAAAGAAAAAAATATCAGAAACATATTCGCCATGTGTGCCATATTTGTCACATGTGCCACGTTCGTCATGTGTGCCATATCTGTCGTATGTGACATATCCGTCATGTGTGAACCAGTCGAAACCGGTCAGGACAGGTCAAGACTTGTCTGGTCTGGTCTGAACCAGACTGAGACCAGTCTGGACCCGTTAGGACCAGTCGAAACCAGTCTGGTTCGGTCTGAACCAGTCTGATCCTGTCTGAACCAGTCGGGACCGGCCTGACAGATGTGACATGCATGACGGATGCGACACACGTGGCAAATACGGCGCACATGGCGAGACCGCCACACATGACAAATACAACACGTGATGGGTGTGGACAGCACGACAGATTTGACACACATGGCAGATTCAGCACATACAACACGCGTGTCAGATCTGTCAGCGCGTGTTGTGTTTGACACGCATGGCAGATGCGACACGTGCCCCAGATTTGACATGTGCTGGCGGGCACATGTGGTGGGCTTTGACGCACGTGCCAGGTTTGGCAATCGTGCTGGATTTGGTGCGCATGTCGTATTTGTCATGTGTGCCATTTTCCCCGCGTGTATCGTGTTTACCACGCGTGTCGTGTCCGTCATGTGTGTCATGTCTGTCAGGCCGGTCTCAACCGGGCCAGACAGTTTAGACCTGCTCAGACCGGACCAGACCAGTTTGGGCCGGTCCCAACCAGACCAGACCAGACCGCTCTTAACCACTGAGCCACCTCTCCAGCCCCAGTAAGTTATCTTACCAAAGGGAAAGGGAGTTTCTAATGTTTTGATAGAATTTGGCAACTCTAAGCTAGAAAAAAGGCTGCCAAGCTGCCTTATCAGGAAAGGTGCTTGCCAATCTAATGACCTGACTTTGATCTCCAGGACCCCACAGAGTAGAAGAGAAGAACAAGCTTCCATAAATTTTCCTCTGAAGTCTACATAAGGTGACAAGGCATGTGCATGTCCATGCATATACACACATGCCCATACATACACAAAATAAAAAAAAATTATTTACTTTAAAAAAAAGTTTTAATCAGAAAGAGAGGGCTGGAGAATAGCTCAGCAAGAGAACATTTCCTAGAATGCACAAAGGCCCTGGGTTTGGTCACAAGGACTGCAAAAAGCAAGCCTGCTTTTGGTAAAAATGACCCCTGGTTGGAAATCACATCTGGATTTTCCTGGAATCACAAATGGTGTCAAGCCACTGCTTTTAGCTTTCTTGAGCATGTGATTCCTAAAACTGGGTATTGATCTTTCCAGAATCTTCTGTACCCATGTGTTACCAAAGTAGTTCTCCTATCCATTCATGTAGTCCCTCCAGAAACCTCAACTTAAGAACTACATTGACTTTTAGTCCTAAAATTGCTAAGCTCACTTGAGTCTTAAGTCATAAATCTCTGGTTGAGCCTAATACTATGAGAACAGTTACTGGAATACCTCCACTAAACAAGAGCATGCCCCTTACCACTCACAAGAATGTTTCTTTGTCTCTCTTACAAAACCCAAGTACAAGCCGAGTGGTGGTGGCGCATGCCTTTAATCCCAGCACTCGGGAGGCAGAGGCAGGCGGATCTCTGTGAGTTCGAGACCAGCCTGGTCTACAAGAGGTAGTTCCAGGACAGGCACCAAAGCTACAAGAAACCCTGTCTGAAAAACAA